TCGTGGATTGGGCGGGGGTGGAGAAAGCGACAGAAAGAAACACGGGAAATGAGCAATTTGAATGAAGCTACCACTTATTCTACAACTGTTGGTCCAACCCCATATCTTGTTTTGTTCTGTGGTTGTCAGGTCAGGACGTTGCTTTAAGGCGGCGAGCAATCTGACTGGTGCAACTGGTTTGCTGCATTGCTGCCAGTGACCCGGCACTGGAGAGAAACCATGACACCTTATTTACTACTTTTATGAAAACTTCACCCCATAATAAAGTGCCACTAGTGGCTAAAGGGACAACTTAAGGGAGTAAAAACAACCTCTGAAACAGACCTCAATATTTTAAAGCTATAGAAATTACAATTTAAAGATGTGTGAAAATGGATCTAAGCTGTCCTCAGATGTGAGGAACTAGATCGTGACTACTATCAAAATAGTGACATCACTGGTTTATGTGTAAACAAAACTGGCTGCTCCTCCTCATGACAGCTAAAGGTCGGCATCGTGACAACACCTTAGACCATCTGTGTGCCTGCTCTCCCTTCTGCTGCAAAGTTTTCACTCATCATCTACTTTCACTACTTGTGCCCTGATGCAGACTCTCCTCTGACTGTATGAAGTGAGCTTTTGTCTGCAGATAAACGCTCTTGAATGGAGCTTGTGTGGGATTCTGGGCTGCCACGCCCCACAAAAGGACAGACTTAGGACGATGCTCAGCAGCGAGCCCAGACGACTGTTGATGCACATGCACTCCTCATCTCTGTGTGATTTTATTAGGCCTGCACAGGCTGTCGAATAACAGTTAGCTGATGAGGATTTTCATGCTAAATGCTTGCAAGCATCCCACAGGTGCCTGGACGTGCCATGCGGCGCTAAACACACAAAGAACATAAACTGCTGCTCCTCCCTTCTGACCTCCTCTGAAAAACTCGAGGAAAATGTCTGAGATTCCTTTCTTTACATGGAGATCATCACAGTCTCTCAAGAACATGATGTAGAAACTTTGCTCACTAGCTAACCAACGTCTCCTATTCAATTAGAAAAATAAGGACAGGAATAAGTTCTAAATATGATCTTCTAATAGTGTTGCACGGTATACCGGTACTAAAATAGTACCGCGGTACTAGAGTATTCTAAACGGTACTATACTGCATTTGGAAAATACCAGTACTTTGAAATTGATTCAATTCATTAATTTCATTAATTTATTTTACTCATTTATGCACACAAACGCCTTTCTTGTTCCTACTGGAGCACAGATTGCACAAGTGGTGTGTAAGACAACACCTGTATCAACATTCACAGCTGGCGCACGTGAAAAAAGACGAGAAAGTCTGAATCGCAAAGGGAGACAACACGAGACAACACAAACTTAGTGGAACATTTGAGTTACCAAACCGTGACGTCCGTACCAAGGTACTTACCGAACCATGATTTTTTTGGTACCGTTACACCCCTACTATTTATTGTTCTAAAGGTTTGCATCCAAAAGGACTTTTCCTTAGGAAAAGTACCGAAGAGTATCGAAAAGTATCGAAATTCATATTGGTATTGGTACCGAAACAAAGATTTTGGTATTGTGACAACACTATTTTCTAAATATTTCCACTTAAATTCAGTAGAGGTTAAATCACAGAACTGCAGATGTTACTAAATATGAACAAATAAAATCAAAGTTATTTTTCGAAATCCTCTAAGCAATGTTAAAATACAGCATGTTGTCAGATGAACAATCTAACCAGCTGCAGACAATCTGCTGATTGGACATCCTCCTTTTATTGCATGCATTTGACATTTACAGCACAATGTGGCACTGAACTAGATCATTCAGAAATGCTGAGACTGGTCAGGCATCCCATTCATATATTCACAGCGTCACCCTCCGGGAGCTTTCAACATGCACTCTGAGCACTCAGCCCGCTGAAGTGCTGCAGCTGGCACAAGCCAGCAAAGCTCGCTTGCAAACTAGCTGCCACTCTAAAGAGAGAAAATAACTCCTCCTCAGACCAAAACTCACCACAGCCTTTTCATTTGCATGCCAGGCAGAGAGTACTTTATCGTAAATGTTTGACTGACAATAATCCTGCCGAACAATGACTGAAAACATTCAAAAATGACTATAATTTCAGGAGTGGAGTGCTTTCTCTTTTATGAACAGCACCAGATTGGGTTCACGAGGGTTTCGAAGGAAACAAGGTTTAACTGGAAATGGTGGCACGGTGCACTTCAGCTGTGAGATGGGCCAAGAGAATTTAATGAGGGTAAACCACAGGGTCTGACATGCATTATGAACGTGATCGGCTGCAGAAAAAAAAAAGCCCTCTTCTCTACCAGGCACATTCAAGTCAACAATGAACGAGGATTTGCTGCTAAAATGCTGCAGGTTTCCTGATAATAAAGGTGATGTGAATTGCTTTCTAAATACTCTCTTGTAATATCTCTTAAAAACCTGAGGAAAATGTTACACAAAGGCGTAGAGAACCAGACAAGAAATCTAATTACACCTACTATACATGAAGTAATGTCTACAACAGAGGTCAAAAAGTGCAATGCATAATTGGATTTTCCAACATCAGCCCTTTACAGCATCAAATAGACGGAACGGTATGAGTTGACTGCGAAAATCGGAAACAAGTGTTACCCGGAGCATAGCGGTTAGAGTTAGCCCTTTTAGACCCAGCTAGTCTTAGCGGTGCATGAAAGCAGTCTGACTCCATACACACCAGTCCCACTGATGTGCAGCCAGACCTAAAAGCAGTCTGATAGACTCAAGATTTTTCATTTTGCACTGGTGTTTTTGTCACCCCACCACCAGTACCACCACTCTGCCCCACACACACACTCACACACACAGCCTCTTCTCCCTCCCCCTGATGGCTTTGCCCCGTCTCTGGACCTCCCTGCTCTGGCATGACTCCATCATGCCCTTAGTCACCTCCCTTCTGCGAGCCCCTCACACACACACACACATACACTTTCCCACACACAGTGAACATTTCACACATGCAGACGCTATCTCTTCCCCCGTTACTGGGGTCCCCCCCTAAGCCTGAGGAAAATGGCCGTCACGGAACCCCGCTAACGGGAGGCCTCCCCTCAACCGCAAACCAGGAGTAAGGAATGTGACAGAGAGAGAGAGGGAGAGCAAACGTATTACTGCTGCAATATTAGCTGATGGAGGGAGCAGGGGGAGAGGGAAGGATGAGGGTAGAATGGGGGGACCGCGGTGTGAGCATCGACCCACAGAACACTCTCCCACATGTGGAGTCAATTAGGAACAATCTTGTTTTCTACCCACCGCTGCAAAAGAAAGGAGGGTTTTCTGGGGCTCTGTGTGTGTGAGTTTGTGTGAGTGTGTGTGCGTACACAAGAGAGAGAGAGAGAGAGAGTGAGGTAGGAAAGGGAGCTGAGAGAGAATGTTTTTTCCAAAAACCTGCCAGAGAAATAGGCCGGATATTCGGTTTTATATCAAGCCATTTTACGCACGAAGAGCCTGCATCTGAGTTTTTTCTGCCCGCTGTTCACCGTCAAATGAGCATGACTTCAGAAACCGCAGCGTGATTGCAACTACAGAGCGAATGACACTTAAGGAAAAACATCAGTCCTCTGGGGCTGTGCATGCATGACTGATGCACATATGTCACAGTCGCAGATGTGTGTGTATGTGTGTCCGCTGTTCTGCATCCTCACACCTATCATCGTCGTGTGCATCTGGTGAGACAGAAGCATCCCTACTGACTCCGCTAGGAATTCCAGACGCACACAAAATCACAGGCCACTTCCTTGGTGTCAGACAAGAGGAAGTCTCCCCTTTAAAAGATTCATGGCTGCTTCAATTATGTATCCTCTTTCAAATTGTCGTGTTTAGACAATTTTCATTATTCATCCGTTTCAAGATTGATGGCTCCCAGTCGGGTGGGCGGCGCGGCGTAAACAAGCGTCTACACCGCTGTTGATTTATCTGGGTAAGATCAAAACGGCAGGCGAAAAACAAAGGCCCCTTGCTTTTCACGTCTGCATCAAAGGCGCATTAAAACAGTGACTTTTTTGACATTTTGGAGGGAGGTTTGTTTGATTTCAAAGAGTAACCGACTTCAAACATTGGCAAGACGTGCAGGGAATGGGCCCTCCTGACCCCAAGCTCACCTCAAACACAGGTGTGAAGGCAACCACTGTGACCCGATGAGGGAGTCTAGGCTGGCACGCCACCACCGGGAGTGTCCCTTCAAACGCACACATACACTAAGTGCAAATGACTGCTCACATTCCATCCATGGCACACAAATACAGAAAGGAAAGCTGCACCAGGTGATAACCATATCTCAATATTTCCTGTAATAACTCTGGCATGTAACCAAAGACGACCTTTCACCCTCAGGCCCTCCAAGAACCCAGACTGTTGCTTTCTTCAGAGGGCAACCAGAGTGTGCAAACCACAGAGGAGGGAGATTTAAGGTAGGGCTGCGTGATTTGTGTGCATCTACATTATGTGCGTGCATGAGAGGCATTCTCATGAGACATTTTAAATGGCAGGTAAGAAGTACGGTGCTTGTTATCTCTTTTTGGTGCATGTGTGCACCCTGATGTTCATCTATGTTGTGTGTCAGTTATACCACGATTTGTGTGAGTGAGTTTGAGAGATCACCTTCAAAGGCTGCCTGCCCCCTCAGGGCTCTATAGGGGAACATCAACTAACCCGTTTTACCTCTCTCACCCAGCAAGTCGCCCCACTTCAAAAATAATCCACGACACAAATGCTGAAGGCTCAAGGACCCCGAAATGCCCTTTCCCCCCTGGGTGTTGTGTTTAATAATGCAGCCCCACAAACAGAAAAAACACAGAGGGCTGGGTGTTAGAGAGAAAGTTATTGTGGAGGGGTCTCCACCTCCCACTGTGTATGGGACAGGAGTCAATGAGCTAATGCTGCTCAGACAACACACCAACCAGGAGAGACAAGAAGTAGGACGATGAGTGTGTGTGTGTGTGTGTGTGTGTGTGTGCCTTCTCACCAGCTGAACGTAGGCTACTTTATAGTCCGGCTGCTTGACCTTCTGGTTTTTATGATTCCTCTTCTTATTGGAACCTGAGAACACACAGAATAGCACGTATTGAATTAGCTGTAAACAGGAATGACAACACATAAGCTAATTCTTGTTGTGTGACAACAGTGTTGATGGTGACATTTACAAATATGGTGACAGTGGGGTTGGGCAACATGACAATAAACAATGAAGACAACAGAAATTTCTCAGCTGCTGTAAACTTTGCTATACTGCTTCTACTGAAGTAGCTCGACCTATAATATCTCTAGGTGGGTTTTGGTGGGACATGTTGCAAATAAGTGAGCAAGACTGCTTTGGTGTTTCGAAGTACCTTGATTATAAAAGAAAATGTTTAATACACTGGATGAGACAAAGTGACTTATTAATATTTTATCTATGAGCAGCTGTAATGATTATCACTATCACAGCTGCAACATTCAGAAAATTAACTGACAAGTCAATGAAATGGCATCTATTTTATAATGAATCAATCATTTTTCATTGTTTTCTGATGAGATTAAGACTAAATGAAGAATCAATTAATGGAGCAAATAACTGTCAGATTTAGATCCACCCCTAGGTGACAGTTAGCAAAATGACTAAGAACTATCCTAACAGCTATTTATCTTTTTTTCCTTTAATTTCACATGAGAAAATATACAAAACAAGTCAGGAAATACATGTATAAAGATTTTAACAACAATGGTGGAAATGAGGCTGCAACATAATAAAATACAAAGAGAAAACGTTTTATTTTGTTTTTTACGAAAAGTTGACAAAATAAGAGAAACAATCAGGTGAACAAGAGAGGAGCACAAAAGAATGAGGTAAGAGACATAAAAAGAGCAGGGACCTAAATATAGATGTAGTATGATTTTTTTTTAATTTGATTTGATTTTTGCTTTACTGTTCAATTTTACCATGTATTTTAGCAATTTGAAATAACTGGCAAAGTTATATATAAACAGTGAAATAGGGAGTACATCCTTTCTTACAAGTATGACTATTATATCTACCCCAAATAATCACAAGATTAACAGTATCTGAAATGTTTGCATCCAGGCTGTCCATAGAAAAACTATATCATTGTAACTAAATGACAGTATGCTATCTATTTTGAGTGACAACCAGTTGTGAATATCAGACTTAAAAATAAGCACATGAAGATTTAAAAAACAGATGGTCAATGGTTTAATCAAAAGATGCAAGGATCTACTTCAAATTTAAATCTATTTACTACCTCTGCAACAATCACATTACGCTTCATTCCTATCTGACCAACAGATATTTCACTACGCATTTTTGTTCATTTCCCAGTAGAACAGAAAATACTTTGTGTGTGTGTGTGTGTGTGTGTGTGTGTGTGTGTGTGTGTGTGGGAAAGCAGAGCCTGATCTTGTTGACTATGGAAGGCAGGTTAACCTCTTCCCCAGCTGGAGATGATGATGACATCATCCTCTCTCCTGTCAAACCTCTCCAAGTCTGGAAGAGAGGGGACTGTGGAAGCTGCTGAGTGTGTGTGGTATGTGTGCATTTGTGCGAGTGCGCGTGCAGAGGCAGGACGAGGAGTCTGGATTCGAATAAATCAAAAGTTAATTTTACTGGACTTACAGGCATTTCACACAGGTATCTCAATCTTTACGAAACGACTAAAGCGCGCTACTATCAATGACGGATAATGGCCGCAGCATCAAACGTTTCATCTCTGCCTTAGAACCCTGATCTCAATGAGACCCTGGTGGTCAAGTCAACAGGCCCTCTGAGTAACTGCCATTGCCATGGGAACGGTTTATGACATGAAAAACAAGGGAAACATTCCGCTGTAATGAGTCATTTGTGTGTGTGTGTGTGTGTGTGTGTGTGCGCAAGTGTCTATGTGTGTGTCGTATGCGTAGCTAGTAATCACTAGCCAAGCAGCCCACTGCTCAGGGAAAGCCCTGAGCAGGGTTGTAAAACACCCCCCTCCACGCCCCCCTGGCTAACTGGAGGCCCCTGTGTGGGTGGGAGACAGAGGTAACGAAGAGTGTGTGCCCCTGTGTGTGTGTGTGTGTGTGTGTGTGTGTGTGTGTGTGTGTTTGAGACTGCTGAGGAAATCCACAGGGAAATGCTACAACCTTTGAAAGAGCGAGGTAAGACACTAACCTGCCCCCCCCCCCCCTCCCCAAAACAAAAGCCACACATGAGACGCACACTTGCACACCTTGAAAGGGCACAAAGCGTTTCTCCGAATTCACACAGGCCTTTCGTAATGCATACAGACACACAGACAGAGCTTTCATGCAACACTCGCAAACGCAAGCACAATTTCTCCCACTTTGAGATTGCGGTTTGGCAGCCAGCTATCACGTTACAAATCCCAGGCCAAAGGGGTAACCATGGCAACTCCTTCCAAAATACCCCTGCCGCCCATGGAGGGAAGAAAGGGTCGTTTGCGCCCCTCGCTCTCCTCTGCCTGTTGCCGTCTTTAGGCTGCCAATGGAGTGGAACTCCTGACGCAGACAGGGATACCTTCACTGACGCACCTCGGGATCACCAGGGGCCCTGAGCCGCCCTTTCTTCTCCGTCCCCCCACAGTTCACTGCTTTCCTTCCACCCACCCTCCCGAGGGGCTTTCCTTTTCCCCTAGCTTTTAATGACACAACCCTAATAAACAGCCTTAATGGGTCCTCCAAACTGGAGGCTAGGCTAAGCTAGGCGCCACTCTCCTCTTTCCTCCCTCCACGTCTCCTCCCCATTCTCTCCTCCAGAGGTAGAGGGGGATCCTCGTGGCCCTTCAGGCATAGCACACAGGGAGCTCGTGCCTCTTCTCAGCATGTCCATCACAGTCGCTCCAACGTCAAGCCACCCATATGTCTTCTACAGCGCTATTATGAACTTGCAAATTCCTAGACTTGTAAGGAGCCCCTGAATCAGTCCATGCACTCTTAAGCAGTTTCCTCCCCCAATAAAAAGTAAAGGGGGTTATTAAGTCAATGATATAACACTGTTGGTTCTCTGATCATCCTTGACAAGGAGGGGGACTTTGGGGTTGGGACGTGTGTGGAGGGGACGGGGTATTTAGGGCCCTGAAGCTGCAAGTTTGTAAGTGAATAGTATGTGTTTGTGTGGAGGGAGCGTGGGGTGTCCTGGGACAGCTGGAGGCTGGAATGCTGCAGCAGCAGATTGTCAGATAAGCAGCTGTGTGTGTTAGAAGGAAAGGAGAGCCAGGCACGCTAACCACTACCGCAACTAGCCGCTGGAAAACACTCCCGCTGCTGCACGTCAATGGGAAGACCGTCTACGTCCCGAGCTGAAATTGCTAATCGCCGCTAACCACCGCTTAGAGTCTCCAAAACAGAATGAATTTGACTTTAAGCTTCCTAAAACAAGAATCATCTTTCTGTGAATTCCATACACCATAACCAAAATTTGCCTTACAATTTGTCATCTGATTAAAAAGACTATTAGGATGGATATAACCCTGAAGATCATTGTGGATATAACCTTAAAATGATGTCCAAATTATTTTTTATCTGGACAAAAATATTGACAAAACCTCACATTTAGTCCAGTATGTTTACACACCAATAAATCCAACAAATTGTTTCAGAACAGTCAAATTCCTGCGTTTTTGTCATCCATCAAAAGTCTTTCAGAGCCTTAACTTTGTTTTACTTTTTTTTTTTTAATAACAAGCGCAAATTTATAAGAGCTACAACCACGTACACACATGAATCGTCCCTTTTTGCCAATTGGCATGCACAGTTAATCAACTTTCGTTTGGCACCTGACCAATCTTTCCTCGAAATCTTGTGCAAGTCTGTGAGTCTATTCGCAAGTTAAGCACCTTTTAATGAAAGGCCACTCCCATTACCGTCCCCCCTTTTCACGTACACATGAACACACATTCACACATACACACACACACAGACACACACACACACGTTACCTCCATGCCAAATTTCAGTCTCCTAGAACAAAAACTGGCCGCCACAGGTTAGAGAATTTTTTGTGGACCAACAAGCCTGCCAAGACACGGAGCAAGCTATGGAGCTGCTGGTCACAGCTAAAACTGAAATTGACTGAGTGAATAACAAATATATAAAATAAAACAAAAATAAATATCAAATTGTTTCACATGACTACAATAATGGTGACACTATTATATTAAGCAATATTTCTGTGAAATTATTTCGTATGTTTCTGACATACGGAGCATGTGGACAGACAGCGATCAGAGCATTATGCTACAGGAGTAGTTTGAGAAGTCTGAATTGATGCTTTGATACTATTTTCTGCTGTGTAAAGTTCTCATCACAGGAATCCACTGTAACATGAAAAAGTTGACCACAGCTACTTATAACTTCTTACGGCCATATGTCATGCATACAGATAGCAAATGTTTGATACTTCAAAGACACATCTTAATTAGAGACGGGGCTGTACAGATTGCCGAAACACTTATTTCATAGTATATTGTGAATACTGGACTGTCGTGAGTCGCCTTATGTATTAACTGTATAAACTACTTTTATATTAAATTCCAGTACGGCATGACTGACATGTAAATGTATTGGATAGACCTTTAATTCATCTAGTTATCAAATTATATACTTAACAGTGTTCTGAAGGCAAAGTTTAATACAGGGTGGAAGATAAGAGCTTAGCATACTGAGACTGTGTGTGTGTGTGTGTGTGTGTGTGTGTGTGTACGCGCACCATTTGCTCGATTTACTCACAACAGCTGCAGTACAACTTTAGGATTTTAATTTGGATGAAATGTTTGTGGCTTGGTAATGCATACCATAAATCAAGTGTTTTCACCACTGCCTCAGCCCTCTCTCAACAGTCTGGATGGGCTCCATGGCTTTACATAGATGTACAGTCATGGTGTGTATAATGTTCTTCCACCACGAGCTTTCCCAATCATAAGGTCAGTGACTCAGGGAACAATGTCTGCATTGTGGGGTGTTTTTTATATTCTCCAGCACTCCTCGCACTCAGTCCACTTAATGTGATACAACAAACCTTAGGAGCCAAATCCATATCACTGCACAGACCTCGACAGGGGTAATGTTATTGCCAGTTATTCCACTGACCCAAAGGGTGGAGTTATCACTTCAGGCCTGAGTAAACTCAAACTACAATTGCTGCATATTTGCCCTTACAGGGACAAATACAACTGTACTGAACTGAACTGCATTAGAATCTCTTCAAAAAATATATGTGTGTCAGTATGTAGGACTCAGAGTTTGATTTCACTAATAATTTTAGAAAACTGTCTACAAATGTAACCTATCTAAAAGTGCTGGGTCAGCTAGAAATTCAGAACCTGATCTGAAACTGACCTACAAAAAGTTAGACCCGAGAAAACGCCACCTCTGACAGCAGCATGATACTCAAAAATGCTATAGGGCAGTGGTTCCCAACTGGTCCAGCCACAGGGTTCAGATTTCTCCCTGGTCATTAGTTCAAGGTCCACAAAGTTAATATACCAAGTGTTATACTTACTGTTTGGCCACGTTGGTGAGTCACTTGTGGTCCATTCAGAATGGACCCGCGACCCACCAGTTGGAAACCACTGCTATAGGGCAGCCACTTTCGGAAAAAATAGCAATATGCCAGTTTTCCTGTACTTCACTCACACGCTCTATTTCAGGCCCAAAACAGATTTTACTCCTGTAAAATCACGCCTTAGATATGACTGTGAGTTTACTTGGATCCATTCTGGTATAAGGCATCTTGGCACACAGATTATGTGGCAAAACAGCAGGATAAATTAGATGAATACAATGTGGACTTGGCCCTCTCTCAGGTCATGGGTCAGGTCTCAGTTACTAGGGTCAGAATGGACCAGTCAGTAGGGTTGTATACCGAACTCGGTACTCTTACAGGTAAAGACCAAAATAGGTCGATGCTACCAAGTACCGATTCAGGATAAATACGCCGGTGCCCAACGTCGATACCTAAGAAAGCATCTGGGTGAGAACGTCAGTCGGCCACTGCGTCAGTGGCTCTGTTGGCTTCCCAGCGAGCCAAAACTATCATTGCAGCACCAATCTGCCACATTGGTTTCAGTGTCTCGTCTATTTTCTTTTCCTTTAGTTTTGTTTTTTTAGTTTTGTTATTACAGAGAAAGTAAGAATCGAAAAAAAAGTAGCATCAATCATCGGTACCAAATTACAGGTACCGGTATCCATATTGGTTCAAATGTGAACGCTATCCAACCCTACCCTAGTATCAGCCACTCTAAGTTCTATTCTTTATGTGCTTGTGCAAAGCAGTGAAGAGACTCACCAAACTGTATCCTTGTGCGGATTGCTCCCACAGGGACGTCGTAGATCTTCTCCAGGTAGTTCTTTACGTCATACTTGGTCATTCTGTCCCGACATGTCCAGAACAGACAGAAGAAAAAAAACACCCAAATATGGAGGGAGAAGGAGAGAGAGAGAGGAGAACTGGGGTTACACAAGGTATCCAGCATCAGTGTTCACATGAGGTAAGGATTGTTTGAGTGTGTGTGTATGTGTGTGTGAGATGTGAAGGGAGTAAGAGAAGTCTGAGGTTGCAGTCCGACACTTGCAAGGTTACAAGGTTACATGCTGGATCACTGGCCATCAAATAACACCACACTGACTTAATTGACACAGACACAAAAAATGATACAGCCTATTTCCACACTGCATTCCCATAAACTCTGCTGTTATATTACCTACTGTAACTGACAGGACACTCCCCTATAAACCCATATTCAGCTTTTATACTCTGGAACATAAAGTGGGGAGAAGAGAAATGTGAGTGTCAGTGTTCATCCAATTAGCTGTCTGCATGTATCGATCGCGCCCGGTGAAATCCTACACAGGAAGTGGGCCTGGCACCAACTGATCCGGTGGGCCAGCCCAGCTAAAGCTAGCTCACTGGGCAGCATTTGGAACGGATTGCTCCGACCAGAGGAAGAAAGGCTTTTAACTGCTAATCAATCTAGCCAATTGGATTAGCCTGGTGGAGAGCACTTCCCAAATGCGTCTGACAAAGTGCTTAATAGCGACGCTGTGGTCTGACATGAGTGCCTCGGATATGGCGTCTTCTATCACCTCATATGTTCCTTTGATAGAACAGGATAATGTAATATTCCCTATTTTTTCAGAGGAAACAGCACAATACCTTGAGCTGCTGTAACAATATTTGGCGAGGCAAACATTTGCATGAGAAAATCCCATCTGTGAACACAAAGGCTCTTTGTACCTGGAATGATGTAATATATGTTTCCATGCTGTACAAACAATTGCCTTTTCCTCTATAATACGCTGAATTTTGGCAAAGCTGGCACTGATGTAGACCTAGAACACTTCCATTTGACCTGCTAAGTTGTGTTTATCAAGAGAGGTAAACTTGCATTTACGATACTTGGGTAACTATTTCCACATTTGATTCCACCATTACAGAAGCGGGATGGTTTGATGTGGTGACTCTTGAATATGGTAGGGTTTTGTTACCAAACACCAACTTCAGGCAGCTGCCTTTGAGAGACGAGAGAACTAAGCACTCACTGAGCTCTCCCACTCAGACCCAGTGCTGGTCCAGGACCACTGGGGTTGTTAGGGTAGAGGAGTTTCTGTGTCACGGTGGGGGGAAAGGTGTAAACAAACTTGTTAAGGCCCCTTTAGACCTATTCGTCTCCCTTTACCCAGTCAAGAGGACAAAAATGTGTTTCTGATGTGACATGCAGATGCGCCTTTCTGCTCCATTTGCACCCACCTTCCCCCACAAACCCCCGTCTCACAGTGTGTGTGCTGGAGGGTAGTGAAGCAGAGCGGGCTGACCGGGGGTACTTGAGATCAAGAGAGGGAAAAAAGAGAGAGTGATAGCGCTGAGAGACAGGTTTTCCTAGAAAGCAGGGGCGGGGAAGTGGGAGAGAGAGGAAAGTGGCTTGGGGACTGTGAGGTTTCCTCTGGATCATTAGCAGATGGAACACTGATCCTGATTAATGGGGGAATCTAAATCCTACTGCTTTTACCACTCCAATTATTCAGTCACCACAAACACAGAATACGTGCACACTAATATTTCACTGTGATTGCGATCATGACAATATTCTGAATTTAATATGGGTCACGTGAACAGAATATTTTCATTTGGATATTCTGAATTAAGCCTTATTCCGGATAAAACATTTTCCGATTAAGACATGTGGGATGTGCGGGTATTATTTGTGTTTTAGGACAATGTATACAGTGCACTCCGATATGCAAAATTGGGGTTTTTAACAGCAGTTTGTGACACATGGCCTCTTTCTCTGTACCTTGTCATGGAGATGTTGCAAACAAACCAACAGTTTACAAGGTTGAGGTAGAGATGTACGCCAAAAAGAAAAGCCGACATGTCTGGCCAAAAGAAGAAACATACCGAAACATTATGAAAGACTGATAACAACAGCTTTTCGGATAGCGTGAATATTGCAATGCTGACCTTTTCAAGAAGCCGGTTGAAGGAATGAAAGAGGGAAGCTGTGTTCACACTATCAAACAAGTCTGCCACCAGTGGAAAACTTGGAAAAAAATCCTATTTTTATTGCAAGGCAAAATGACGCAAGCAGCTCCGACCATTCCATCCATCCATCCATCCATTTTCATCCACTTATCCGGGGCCAGCAGGCCAAGCAAAGCACCCCAAACATCCCTCTCCCCAGCAACGCTTTCCAGCTCCTCGTGGGGGACACCAAGGCTTTCCCAGGCCAGATGAGATATGTAATCTCTCCAGCGTGTTCCAGGTCTGCCCCGAGGCCTCCTACCAGTGGGACATGCCAGCAGCACCTCTAATGGGAGGTGCCCAGGAGGCATCGTGATCAGATGCCCGAACCACCTCAATTGACCCCTTTTGACACGAAGGAGCAGCGGCTCTACTCCGAGCTTCCTCCGGATGTCCAAGCGCCTTACCCTATCTCTAAGGCTGAGCCCAGCCACTCCACGGAGGAGACTCATTTCCGCCGCTTGTATCCACGATCTACCCTCACTCGTGAACAAGGCCCAGAGATACTTGAACTCCCTCACTTGAGGCAGTAACTCTCCCCAAACCCGGAGAGGGCAAGCCTTGAGTTTCCGGCAGAGCACCATGGCCTCAGGTTTGGAGGTGCTGACTCTCATCCTGACCGTTTCACACTCGGCTGCAAACCGCCCTAGTGCATGCTGGAGATCACGGTGTTATGAAGCTAACAGAACCACATCATCTGCAAAAAGCAGAGATGCAAAACTGAGGTCACCAAAACGGACCCCTCCCTCCTCCCGGCTGCGCCTTGAGATCCTCTTACTTGGTGTAAACTCCAGCCGTTCTACTTTGCCATATTCTGACGGGATAAACCACTTGTTAGGGCACATTTATCGGAAAATTCAAGTCTGCATGTTAACCAGAATATGAGTGGAATATCTATTTTCATTCACCATGTAAACAGCTTAGTAGGAATATTGTCTTTTTTTTAATAAGGGCAAAAAAATGAATATGTTGTGCATGAAAATGTAGAAATAGAGATAGCATATATGAAACACGCACAAGCTATTACTCTATTACTCTGCACAAGATGCCAATGCGTGTACACAAATAAACAGGTGTTAACTATAGCTGAAAAAGCAAATCCACACACAAAGATACAACAATAAGAAAAAGAAAGCCCAAAAACACATACCAAACTGGTGAATTATCATTTATCAGTATCAGTGACCAATATCAGTAATAAGTTAAATGGAATATGTAACTAAAAAAGAATGTCTACACCTATTAATTTATATAAACACTATATATTTATAGATCTACAATGAATACATCCACACACGCACACACACCTACAGATCAGTACTGTATACTAGATTTGCAGGGTTTATATTAGTTTTTCTCTGACCTGAGTCAATACATGACTTCCATTTCAGCTAAAACTGGAATCCAGTCTGAGATAAAGCCTTGGGCTGAAAGCTGAGGAGAAAATGTCAAGTTAAGCGAGTACATAAACAAGGCTAAACTTAGACAAAGGGCGTGGTGTCTCCAATAGTGATGCAGGCAGCATCTGATCATCATCCCAGTTTAAACACCCATCTGACTCCACAAGCTAACCTTTCACACCTCTGCCTCACAGGAAGAATGAAAACCTGCCTCCAGCAACTGCCAGGGCTAAAGGCATCGTTCCTCAGCAACTGGTATATATTTATACGCAAACACACATGCTACAAAGATTCCTTGCCCAAGATGATGAAAGAACTCCAAACACAAAATCTAGAAGGGCATCGGATGACGCAGACGATGGATTAGGTTCAATTATGGTCCCTTGTTGCCGAGCAGGTTTAAAACAGCCACACAGGCATCATTGTCAGAAAACAACTTAAACAGTTATATTGTCTGCATTGTTCAAGAGGAGGTGCAGAGGGGCAATGTAAGACCTAAATCTGATATGAAGCAGAGCTAAAAGAATGGGTCTCTGCAGGCATGCAGGCACAGGTGAAGACACAGGGTAAACTTGATGCCTTTGTTTTGCCCCGCTGTGACACAGTTGTTCGTGTGCGACAATATAGCAGATTTGTCGCTCCGCATATTGACCCACACTCCTCTATCAGCTGATCTCAAATGTAATCCTTCCTCTGCAATGCATCTACATGCTCCTGGATATTTCCTCTTCTCAAATATGGGCTAACTCGCAGCACGCCAAGGAAAGTGTGAGTATCAGTTCCAGTAGTTTAGGGCGGTCCATTTACACCTGTGCCCTGAAAGCATATGAGAGAAGTAGGTGAAAGGGCACCGTTAAAAAAGTGCAAGACAGGACAGAGGCAGCTTTGACGGTCTTTGACTGAAAGGATAGTGAATGTATTCTTGAAGCACTACTTAATGCCACTTGTCTATTAATGCGCTGGTGCTAAAAGAACATCTGCCAGGTGAATGGGTGGTGCCTCTTTTGTACACAAAGGACACCCTATGCAGCCACCCACTCACAGTAATCTTCAGCCACAAATAATACACAATATTGACTGAAACACTAAGGTTCGGCAGATCAGCACTGTTCGGCTGAATATTTGTAGAGGCTGAAAACTGTCTTTATAACTAATGTCATGATAACTACCTTTGTTGGACGATATATGCGATAAACGATACTGTCATTTTGAGACCACTTTATGCCACTGATAAAGACCATTTCAAACTTGACAACATAAACATTCTAATGGGTCCCTTGGTATTTCCTGTTAGAATGTTTGTTAATGCAGTAACTGACAGGAAGTGCACAGGGACCAAAGCTGTTGCCAGAGCAACAGAGCATCAGTGAAACGGTCTATACGATAACATAGTAGCACAATAATGCAAATACACCCTTTTAAAGAGCAATGAATTTTAATTCTTGGGAATT